TTTATTCTTCTCCCAACTCCGTCTCTAGAACGTTGGGTTCGTGTGATTTTTCGCCTGCTGATGCTTGTGCCCCTTGTGGTCTCGATGAAGCGAGCACAAGGATGGTGAAGATGACACAAATTCTACCCAGCTCAGCATATTCATAACCTGCCCAGAAGGTGTTCGACAAAATGTCTGAACCAATTCCGAAAAAAAAAACATGCAACACCTGTCAAAGCTGCATATAATTCTTTTTTCGCCAAGAATAGAGTGCCCAAGAACGGATTCCAGCTCCCCTACTTCCCCAACGAAGTGGAAGAAGACATGATATTTCAGCCCGAAGATGAAAGTGAAATCGAGGAAACATTCGACATTTGTTTATTGGACTATTTTGCTGGTAAAACGCCACGAAAAATGGCCATGGATTCACAGACGATTCTGCTATTTTCGAATTTCACCTCAATTGAAGGATTCAAAATGGGGTTTTAGGGATTGGATTTACGGGTTCATTGGGGACATGGAGAATTAGGGATTTTAGAATAGAAATAGGGGACGAGAATGACGCTCCACATCACGTTTCGTCGACCAAGTAGGCACTGGGTGTTGTATAGCTGGACATTTAACGGCCACATAGACGTCACGTGAGCCACGCGCACTATTTCCGTCGAAGTTAGCTGCCGACGTTAATGGCAGAACATAAAGTGATCAAAAGTGACAAGTTTGAGGACATATTTCGTGGATTGAAATGTTTGAGGACATAAATCATTTTAGTGGTAAAGTTTAGGGACATAAACTGTAATTTTCCCTTTAAGTTGGTTTGAATATAGTTAATTTAATAAATAGTTGTTGGAGATACTTTCATTAAATAATTAGTTAATCTTACAATAAAAATAATGTAATATATAATTAATTTAATAAATAGTCAAACTAACGTATAGTTATTTTAATACCAATCTTATATATAAAAGAAAGAAACGTTGGTCAACCCTAAAAAACCCTAATGGTATTTCTGTAATTATTTATTTTGAATATTTTTTTCTCTACTAATTTCTAACTATAAATTTTAACAATTATGAATCTCCGATTTTTCATCAATATATCTCAATCTTAAGAGATAAAGATAGAAATACAAATTTTTAAATCTTAATCTATATATTTGGATATTAAATCTTAATATGTCATATTTAAAAAAACCAATGTTAAATAAAATATGAAAATACTATATTATTAAATTTTACTATGTTAGTTTACGATATTTTCTTATTTTGTATTAAATTGATTATTTTTTCCACATTTGAAATAATATCATGTGCATCGCACAGGGAAAAAATGCTAGTTGTTTTAATAACAGTTGTTTCTAATAACACTTGTTTTATTGAAATATAGTTGTTTAACTGAAAAATAAAAATAAAAATATAGTAAAATATAATATTTAAAGAAAAATATTAAAAAAATAAAAAAAATACATTTTTTTATTATTTTGTAAAGAAGAAACAAATAAAAAAATCAAAAATTAAAATTAAAATTAAAAATTAAAAAAATACATCAAACTAGTGAATAATGTATAGATAATAGTTAGAGGGTAAATTTGAAAATAAAGAAATGATGGGTCTCTCACTAATAAAGGAAAATGAGCTGAACCCATCCTTATTAAAATAATGTTATAGGGGGTTCTCACTAATAGCTCCAATAAAATTAGTATAAAGATTGTGAGTTTTTCACCTAAGTTTACCTATCAATTATTAGAGATTATTTTAGAGACCCCCCTCATTTCGAATATATAACTAACTACAATGTTGTTTATTCCTAGTGCAAACCCTCTTCATTTGGATAATAATTTGACATACCCCCTAGCCCACCCTGAAATACTCAGAATACCCTTTTAAATCAGTTTTAAACCCTAGCCAACCCATATCGGTCTCTATCTTTCTCTCTCAATTCCCAGATCGTAATCG